TTGCAAGTAGATAAATAGGTACCACTTCACTGGGAAGGTAACAGCGTTCCGTATGCCCCCGTGTTTAGTCATGCCGGCCACATGACCACGGAAACGTCTCCGGACAGCGCTGGCTCTTCGGCTTTGAAACGGAGATGAGCACCGCAACCCTAGAGTCGGACTCGACTGGCTTTCGAGCAAGGGAACCTTTACCTTTAACTGTTCATGACAGTGGTTGAAAGAACAGTAGCTGGATTGGATTAGATGCGCATTTATATATGAGGTTCTGAAAAAAGCAAATGATAAACAGCAGGGTCAAGCAACCATGGAATGCTGGAAGCACCATTTGGTATGTTATATTCAGGTATGATCACAACAAGAATAGTAGGGACCATTCACAACAGCAGTAACTGGCAAGTTCCCAAGCTTTGCTAAGGTTGTAAACACTTCTAGTAGCTGAGGAGTCCCAGGTTTTCTCAGGTACTGGTAGTTAACGCCGAGCATAGAGGTTTCCACTGGGTTTAATTTGGAACCAAACAAAGCAGAAGGAACTTTATTGCAGGCAGGTAGATGTTGCAATTGCACAAGAGTTTTAAGCATAGATGTAATGCTTAGCCCTCATGAGCTAGCCCACAGGGCTTAACTAGGGAGCAGGATTCAGATCCAGAACTAGGAAATTAGCTCTGATATGTATGGAATGCTAATAAAGAAGAGAGTGTCTCCGAGTAAGGATAGAGTGACTTACTGCAGAGTAAATGTAATTAGCCAGTACACATCTGGGAAAGAGCTGTGTGAGCCTTCTAGATTGACCACTTCCAGGCGTGGTTCATTTTATAAATTAAGTACTGGCAAACCTGTATCCTCATAATTAAGCACCCATACAAAAATGTGGACCAGAATGCCCAAACTGCAGGTTCTGCTCACAGGGAATAATTCAGGCAATTACTGATGGTTGTATTTAGATAGAAATAATGGGAGTTCTGGTTAGATGCATTGAGCTCTAGTCCCCTTAGGTGTGTGGTGCAGTAGTTGGGGTGTGGGACAAGGACCTGGGAGTCCCAGCTTCAAATCCCCACTCTCCCACGGAAGCTTGCTGGGTGTCCTTCAGCCAGTCACAGTCTCTCAGTCTAACCTACCTCACAGGGTTGTTGTGAGGATAATGTGGAAGAAAGAACAATGTAAGACTATCTGAATCCCGATTGGGGAGAAAGTTTGGGTATACATGAAGTAAATATGGGCTACAAATGAAGTATAAAACTGGGCTACTAATGAAGTATAAATAATAGGCAATGAATGTTCAGATTTGTATTTATTTGTTTACAAGGGGCGGACCCGCGATACTCGCGGGGGGGGAGAGACCTTCACACATGAGGCAGAGGAGGAAGCAGGAGGAGGAGGTAAGTTCCCCCCCATCCCGCTGTCTCCCCCCCCCGGCTTCGAAGCAGCGGCGGCGGCGAGGGAGTTCGCAGAACGTTCCCTGCGCATGCGCAGGGGACGCTCTGTCACTTTCAGGGGGATTTAAGTATCCCCCCGGTATTTTTTCCGTGTTTTTAGATTTTTGTGCACACTTGGGGACTGCCCCAAGTGTGCACAAAAATGTCCCTCCCCCCCGGTGCCCCCGATGCGCGGATTTAGGTATCCGCGCACAGGGGGCGCCTTTCGCTATTAGATATATAGATTTCACTTACACTGCCTTTCTTGCCAGTGGAGATTCAAAGCATCTTACATCGTTCTCTGCACCTCTATTTTTCCTCACAACAACCCTGTGAGGTGGGTTAGAGCTTTATGTTATGTCTTTGACCATACCTTTGTGAATAGCTATAACTTACTGCCGTTCTTAACTTCAGAAAGAAAGTAATTCTGTTTACATACTAACATTGTTGGTATCTGCATTTCCCTATTAGGAAAAAAAATCCAAAAACATCAGCAGTAAATACCTTTTGATTAGGTAAAGGTAAAGGTTCCCTTGCTCGAAAGCCAGTCGAATCCGACTCTAGGGTTGCGGTGCTCATCTCCATTTCAAAGCCGAAGAGCCAGCGCTGTCCGAAGACGTTTCCATGGTCATGTGGTCGGCATGACTAAACACCAAGGCGCACGGAACGCTGTTACCTTCCCACTGAAGTGGTACCTATTTATCTACTTGCAATTTCTTGCTTTCGAGCTGCTAGGTTGGCAGGAGCTGGAACTAGAGATGGGAGCTCACTCCATCATGCGGCACCCAGGTCTCGAACTGCTGAACTACTGACCTTCCACAGCCTGCAGTTCAGTGTCTTAACCACTTGAGCCACTGCAGCTCCTTTTGATTAGGGCCAACTAAAAGGTTAGGGCCCATTTATGACTGGGGCCCATATTTACTTCATGTCACAATGTGGAGATCACATTTTTGAGCACCCACAAACTCTTCATTGGGTTGGAAAGGCTGGGGTAGTGAAAAAGATGTTTCAAGACATGAAGGGAGAGCACAGAGAAGTCTTTAAATGGAGCTGAGGTGGTGGTGCAGACTTAGGATTGGATAAAATTTGCACTTGCGCTGGAACTCTTGCACAAGGAGAAATGCAGGAAAAAGGCTGTGTTAGCCGCTTGCACTAAGTCAGACTTACTGTATTCCTCAGTTGCATTTCAGGGAGGGAAGGTGGCAGGGTATAGCCGGATCTCATCAGATCCTGGAAGCAAAGCAGGGTCAGTACTGGGAAGGGAGACCACCAAGGAAGACTCTGCAGTGGGAGGCCATGGCCAACCACCTCTGCTTCCCACTCGCCTTGAAAGCCCCTTGCTGGGGTCCTCATAAGTCAGTTGTGACTTGACAGCACTTTACACACAATACCAGAAGTGATGTCATCACATTGGCAGCGTCAGGCCAAAGCTCTACTGTTTGGGGCAAAACTCTATGGTAAAAATGGCTACAAACCATAGTTTTGCCCAAAAAACAGAGCGTTGCTCCCAATGGTGCCAACATGATGATGTCACTTCCAGAAGTCACTTCATCACATTGATGACATCACTGAGGGACATCTTTTTGGGGGGTGGGGTTTCCCTTGACAGCCAGCTGGCCACTGGTGGCCCCGAGCCTGCAAAAGCAGGGGATCCCCCACCCCCACCCCCACCTGGGAGCTGGCAAGCCTAATAGTGCCACAGAGTCCACCTTCCCAAACAGCTATTTTCTCCAGGAGAACTGATCTCTGTTGCCTGGATATCCTGTAATCCTCTAGTCACCACATGGAGACTGGTACCCTAATTCTGACCATTTGTTGTTGTTGTTCAGTCGCACAGTCGAGTCCGACTCTTCGCGACCCCATGGATCATCTCCCTCTAGACCCTCCTGTCTTCTGCCGTCCTCTGAAGTGTGCTCAATTTCATGTTCGTTGCATCGATGACACTGTCTAACCATCTCATCCTTTGCCGTCCCCGTCTTCTCTGACCATTAGCTGGTTGTAATTTCTGATGTTTGTTTTGGGTTTCCTGGCCTGTTCTGCTGCCCAGGGTTCTGTGTTTGGATAGGTTGAAGAACATTGGCTTAGAGGGTACTGGGGTGCATGATAAATGTCAAAATGCAATAGAGGCATAGATAGACTCAAGAAACAAACCCCCCCCCCCCATATGAATGCCATTCATTATTCAAGTCCTGGTGCTAACTGGAACAATTCCTGATTGTTTTCCACCAACTCTGCAGAAAAGTATTGCCATTCCATTTTCCCATGTATTGCTAAGGACAGCTAGACGCTGTTGCCTTTGAAAAAAGGTACTGGGCCTAATTATTTCCACTCAGGGAGAACTGAACTACTCATGTCTTACTCAAGCACCCCTGGGAAAACAGGTGGAACTTAAAACATAGTTACCACTGGATGGTTGTCAACTACATAGCAGCAGGAGTGCTTCTAAGAGTACAACTTAGGCTTGCCAGCCCCCAGGTCTGGGGCGGGATCCCCTGGATTCGGGGGCTTCTCCCCATCACAGACCAGCTGGCTGGTGGGGAAAACCCCGCTCCAACATATGGATGTTGCTGCGTAACAACCCCGATGCGATGATGTCACTTCCGGGTGGCATCATTGCATTGGGGACATCATGTGATGTCCCCGCCAACCCCCGGAATGCCCCCCAAATCCCACCACTGGAGCAACAAGGGGACCTGGCAACCCAAGTACAGCTATCATATCAGTTTACAAATCTACCCTGAAATGTGTAGATGGACAGGGAGAAGTCTAGATCTGTCATTTGCTCCCTCCCTCCCTCCCTCCCTCTCCAGATCCTGCTTCTGAAGCTCCTGTACAGCCCCCACAGACCCAGGGCTGTCAGTAAGGCAGGGAGTGCCACAGTGCCCTTTGTCCACTCCTCTCCCCTCCCTGACAGGCAGCCTGTGCCCAATCCTGTCATTCTCCCCCTGGGGAGAAAGGCAAAGTCCAACCCAGCCCCATGAGATCAAAGGTTTCCTGAGTTCACATTGTAGCCCTGAGGAAAGTGGGGAATGATCTGGAAAGTACGAGCCTATTTCAGTCCCGGAAAGACTATTCAGGTGACTGTTGGGTTTGCACAACTCGGATATCTGCTGTTGGTCTGCTACAGAAGTGGTGATCTCAGCCTGCCTGGACCCAGCCTATGGGACTCGGAGTTGTGGGAGGCTCTGAGGATAGAAAGCCTTGCGCCTAGGAAATTTCCTTCTCCCAGGAGGAGGAGGCTCTGAGGAGGCACATAAACATCCCCAGGAGACAACTGACACCAGGATAACCATACAGGCATTGGGAGCTCCTGCTTGTTATTGTGATACAGACATTTAAATGTTAGGAAATGAAGTGACGCGTGATGGCTAGCAGCACAGGTAGTTGTGGGCGGGTGGCATGCTGGCAGGAAGCATAGCCACAGCTCTGGCATTGGGCCTGGAGTTCCGCGTGGATTGGGTGCATGTTGCCGGTGTAGCTGAGACTCTTACCATTTTCTCTCTCTTCTTCTTTCAGGACTATTGGCACCCCGTTGAACAGTACTGCGGCAAGATATCCTGTGCACGGTGAAGGAGTTTCTGCCCAGTTATGGCCAAGCGCCTTTTGGTGGCTGTCGCTCTCTGGGCTCTTGGGGGTCCAGCTGGGCTCCACCATCTCTACCTGGGCCGGGATAACCACGCCCTCTTGTGGATGTTGACTTTGGGGGGCTTTGGAGTAGGGTGGCTGTGGGAGCTGTGGCTGCTGCCTGGCTGGGTGGCACGGGCCAACAGTACCTCGGAAGTTCACAGAGACGGACGCCCACCTCTGAGCCCCGTGCGCTTCCTTGGTCAGGCCTTAGTAGGCATCTACTTTGGATTGGTGGCCCTCATTGGTCTCTCAACCCTGCCTGGTTTCTACTTAGTGGCTCTGCCCCTGGCTGTGGGCCTTGGGGTTCACTTGGTGTCCGAAGTGGGTGACCAGTCCTCAGACCTGCAGGGCACTTTGACAGCTGCCTTCATAACCGCACCTGTCTTCCACGGTCGTTCTGTGGCCATCTTGCCCATCAGTCTCACAACTAGTGTGGTGGCCCACCGGCATCGGTGTTACAAAGCCGGCAGGGGAACCAGTGAGAAACTGAGCATCCGGCTGTACCGATTAGGCTTGGCCTACTTGGCTTTCTCGGCACCCCTGGCCCACTGTGCTTTCTCCAACACAGCTGCCACTGCCAATTATGTAGCCAGTGCTATTGGAGCCGTTCTGGATTGGGCCAGCGTATTTCCATCCCTGAGCGGCATACTGGAATCAATGCTCCTCCTGCCCTACCGTGCCTGGAAGACTCTGGGCTTTGGTGGCACCTACTTCCAGGAGTGGGAGAAAGTGTTTGCGTTTGTACAGTCTTTCCAGAGCGAGAGGCAGCAGATGGCATACAAGGTACAAGGGGCTTCTTTTACTGATCAGCTCCCTATTTTTGGCTGAACTGGGCAACAGTGGGTGGAAATCTGTAAAGTTTGGAGTGTTGGGAGGGAAGGAGGCTTCCAGAATCATGGGGACTATGTTTAAGCAACTCAGGGACGGAGAGGAAGTTAGGGAGCATTTGTGGGATCTCCACCCTATGTTTTTCCTCTAAGGCAAATTCTGGGGCAGATGGAGCATTTGGAAAGAAGAAACCTTCCCCAGCCCACCATATCTCCTCTCAATTCCCCCTGCCATTGTTAGCTATCATTGTCCCCTAGCCAGCTGTGAAATCAACAGCTCATTTGAGGATATTTGTAGAGGAGAATCTGTAGGCATGGAGGAGATTGAACATCCTTTTGGCTAATTCTACCTTAGAAAAGCCCCTTCCGCCCCATATGTGCTGAGGTACCACCAATGCTCCCTCTAAGCTGTGGAGTCTTGTGAGCAAAAAATTCTACTTTGTGAGCTACTGGCCTTAAAGTTGTGAGTGAGCGATTTGGCTACTGCATAACGTTTGCTCTGGAGCCATCGTTCCTGAGCTAAGACAAAAAATGTGTGAGCCAGAAGCTAAAAAACTCAGCTCAGAGGGAACACGGGGTACCACATCATTCCATACTTTAATTGATTGCATTCCAGCTTAGCTGTCAGGGCTTTCCTTAAAGAATGCTGAGAATTGTCATTTGAGGAGGATATTGTGAATTCTGTTAGAGAACCCTAGCTCTCCCCATCACATGACCACAACTCCCAGGATTCACTCTGGAAAAGAAATTATAGCGTAAACAGTTTGAGGCCATTATGTAGATACTCACAGATAGATAATTTTTCAAATTTACACAAGCCAAGTGCCGTGCCTTATTAAGACTGAGTAAATACTATGTAACTCCCTTCTGTTTGTATCCTTGTGTGTGCATATGTGTGCATGACATATGTGTGACACACAAGTAGGGAATCAAGTAGGGACTATGAGTAGTATTACTCTCACCACAAAACTAGCAGTCGCCTTCAGTATTATGTATTTTAGCAAGTTTATTTGGTGAGAGGTGTCATTGATAAGAGGTCTCACTATTCTGTTGGGTTATCTACATAACCCAAAATGACAGTTAAGGTATTTGAAACTGTTCTTGCAAGATCTTACTTGGCAATGAAATCCATGGTTCTTTTTTTGCAATACAAGTGCATGGGCGGATATCACTGGTCTTATTTTAGTGGTTTTAAAAAACCCTCTTCTCTTCTTTTTAAAAAAATAAATTTTAGGATTTTTTTTTTAAACAAATCTGAAGGTTCTTCTGGGTTGGTAGAAACCTCTTCTTTGGCCACACATGGCCCCCTTGCATGTTATTTGATCTGCACAGGGAACATTCTTTGCTACTAGATATGTACAAGAGGGGACCCATGAGACTCATGGAGGTGAATCCCATCCTCTCCCCTTCACTTGCTTGCTCAGCTTTCCACTAGCAGGCCAGGCCACCCACCAGCAATGCCACTGCTTCTACCTGCCTGGCTCATGCAGCTGCGGGGGGGGGGGAGCAGATCCTGATCTTCAATTCGCATGGCTCATGGAGTGGCAAGGTTTCTCCTTTTTTCTTTTCAAATACAGTGGCTCAGAACTCACAGTATAGCACTGCAAGATCTCAATATTTTTGTGGGAACATTATACTTAAAAAAACCCCTTTTTTTGTATTTTTCTGCAACTCTGGGGGCTGCCCCAGGTCTGTAGCAAAATATCCCTGTCTGTACTTGGCCCCATTTTCTGGATGTTTTGATTGATACAGGAGCCAAGTTCAGAATGAGGTATATGCTACAAATGGCAGACCTACTGGGTCTCAGAGGAGAAGGGAAACTTCACTCCCCCTTTGCTAGCCCCCCGCTGTGTTCATTCCTTCTGCTCTCCCCTCCCTGCTCACCCCCACCCTTGCAGCTCCTATGGCTTTTCCCTGACTCTTCTCTCATGCCTTTTATTTGGGGGGGGATTAGTCAGTGCCTCTAATAACTTCAGCAAATAGCACCTTGGCTTTTCCCACACAGATTATTTGCCCTGGTGTCAATGTTGTTGGGAAGTGGGTCTTTTTCATGCCTCCCCAGAGCATCGAGTTCCATTTCTGTACCTCCTGGTTTTCCCCAGGCTTTTCTTTGATCTTTTCCAAACCTGGTTTTATGCAAAGTTTCGAAAGAGATCTCAGGAGAACCTGTATGGCTGTAGTGTGGATGGGAAAGTTTGGGTTTTCCTAGTTCTACCAACAGGACAACCATGTTCTCTGCCTCTGTCCCCGTAGCAGCCATTTCTTTTTCCTGCCACTTGAGCTTTTCTTAATATTGGCTGTTGAATTTTATTTATTTATTTATTCATTTGTATTTGTATTTATACCAATGTAACAATCCATGTATCAGCTCCTGTGAACTCTCAGCTTCCACTTTTTAATTTAAAAAAGTAAGCTGCTATCCTCTCTCATAACAGAGATATAATGGGTAGGGCACATCTCAGCAACGGAAGAGGCTAGAGACTTTTTTTACAATCAAAGCTGGGAATCCACAAGCCTGCTACACAGATTGTTATACTGGTATAACAATATAACATCCAATTGCTGCAACACTTTATATCCTTAAGAAGTGGGCTGTAGCTCACAAAAGCATGTGTTACAATACATTTGTTATTCTTTAAGGTCTGAGATACTTTGTTCATTTGTAGCTCAGACTAAATCATCATAGAGAATCCAAGATGAAACAAGAAGCTGGTAATCTTAACACATAAAATCCAATTACAAAAGAAAGAGGGAGAAAACCAAATGTTGTTCTAAATACGGTCTTCAATCTGAGGGTTTTTTAAAATTATCCTGCATGTAGCGTTTAAAGCAAGGCAGCGCTCTCTGTTAATCATTCTTGTCTGTCATAGAATTAGTCATTTTAAATTTAACAGAGGTAAAATGAGATAATTCAATAACTGAGCAAACAGTTAAATGTCCATAGGGCAAGAAAAGCAAACTATCTGGTAAACTAATTGCCATGTGTAACCAAACACAATTGCCCAACATTTTAGGCTTACTTTCTGACATCTTAACTATTGTCTGAAAGTTTAGAGGAGAGAATGCTGGTCAAAGTCTAGTAAGTTAAAGCAGATAAGGCTAAAAATGATGGGGGAGGGGACAATAGGCTTTTACTGCCTGGAGACTGGAATCGAAAGTGTTCATGATCAGAAATAGTCAATAACAGGAGAAGTTTTTTCAGCTTTGATAGCTTTGGAACCAGGAGAAAGAAATGAACTCTTGGGGAGTTTGGGGAGTGCTAAACTGCAAGGGATGGGAACAGAGAAATTACTGCTTCTCAAAACTATTCTTGGCATATTACTAAGGTTATATTGGGGGGTGGGTTAACTGTTTTATCTACAGAAGAGAGAGGACGAATACTTTTGGTGCTATAAACTACAGTTGCATATAAGTGTGGTGGTGGGAGGGGTAATTAATTTGTGAAAGCACTAATCAATTGTTTGGAGCAAGGGAGGTGATAGGGGGGAAGAAGAAAATTAATTAATTGATTTAAGTGCGGTAATTAAGTGTTAAAGGGGAAACGTGGGGTTTTTAGTGTTGTGGGGAAGTAGATCTGAAAAAAGATATAACTTTGTTGCTTTTAATTAATAAGACTTTTATATCTAAAACCCCCCCAAAAACTCCAGTGAAGTTATTGGTGTCCATTGTGTGCTGTATTGTTAGTTAGTTCTGTGCAAGGTTCATGGCTAACAGGTCTGGTAACAAGTCATCACAGCAGGTAAAACCAGACAATTGTTTCCAGGGTTTTCTTTTTATACCTGATAAACTAGCTACAGGTCTCGCAGATCGATCACAACATCCTCACTATCTGTTTTCTCTCCCCCCCTCTTTAAAGATCTTAGGACTCCACAGTGATGCCACACTTGATGAAATCAATAAAAGCTACCGGGAGCTGGTAAAGCACTGGCATCCAGATCATAATCCACACCGGGCAGCTGAGGCTGAGAGACGTTTTATTGAGGTTCAGGCTGCCTATGAACTTCTCACACAGATGAAGAAACCAAAACCTGCACGATGATGGGATATCTTGGCAGACACACAAAAGATCTATGTGCGCGCATTAGGGCTACCAGCTCCGGGTTGGGAAATACCTGGAGATTTTGAGGGTGGAGCCTGAGGAGGGCAGGGATTGGGAAGGGGATGGACTTCAGTGGTGCATAATGCCATAAATCCCACCTTCCAAAGTGGCCATTTTCTCCAGGTAAACTGATCTTTGTCACCTGGATATCAGTTGTAACAGCAGAAGATCTCCAGCCACCAGCTGGAGGTTGGCAACCCTAGCACATGCTTACTGGAAGGTGGGCCTCCCTAGGAAGCTGAGGTGACTTCCTGGAAAAGTACTTTTTGTTTGTGTCAAAGTGGTCCAGAAGGTGGCCAATATACATGTTATAATGGCCTTCTCCTACACTGATGATGTCTGATGATAATGGGGTTCATAAGACCTCCCCTTTGTTTTTCTGGCCTTCTGATTTTGGGGGGATGTTTCCACAGACCTTATTCTTGAATGGGAGAAGTTTGTGAGGACCTGTCTGAATGATGCCTGAGGAATGGGAGCTAAAACTGGTTGGATAAATTACATTATCCAAAAATCACCAAAACTTCTCTATGAACAGATTCAACAAAATGTTATTCCACGTGAATGGGATGGATGGTGCATATGTGATTTGCATGTTCAGCATGATATGTCCATTGCTCTTTTTCATATCAAAAAATCCATTAAACAAACAAGGTTAAGAATTACATTGTTGCTCTTTTGTTCCTTTCCTGCAAGAAGCAGTATTTGAGTTTCTTTGACATATAATGATCACAATCTCCTCTGATATGTCCAGAGTTCTGGCACAAGAGGAAATCCTGATATAAGAACATAACATAAGAACATAAGAGACGCCATTGTTGGATCAGTCCAACACTCTGTCACACAGTGGCCAAAAATACCAGGTGCCATCAGGAGGTCCACCAGTGGGGCCAAGACATTAGAAGGCCTCCCACTGTTGCCTCCCCCAAGCACCAAGAAGACAGAGCATCACTGCCCTATCTATAAAAAGGTAAAGGTAAAGGTTCCCTTGCTCGAAAGCCAGTCGAATCGGTGCTCATCACCGTTTCAAAGCCCTATCTATACCTTGTGGCTAATAGCCACTGATGGACCTCTGCTCCATATGCTTATCTAATTCCCTTTTGAAGCCGTCCATGCTTGTAGCCATCACCACTTCCTGTGGCAGTGAATTCCATGTGTTAATCACTCTTTGGGTGAAGAAGTACTTCCTTTTATCTGTTCTAACCCGACCGCTCAGCAATTTCATTGAGTGCCCACAAGTTCTTGTATTGTGAGAAAGAGAGAAAAGTACCTCTTTCTCTACCTGCTCTATCCCATGCATAATCTTATAAACCTCAATCATGTTTCCCCTCAGTCGTCGTTTAAAGAGTCCTAAGCGCTTTAACCTTTCCTCATAGGGAAAGTGTTCCAACCCTTTTATCATTCGAGTTGCCCTTTTCTGCACTTTTCCCAAAGCTATAATATCCTTTTTAAGGTGTGGTGACCAGAACTGCACACAGTATTCCAAATGAG